GCGTACAGAGACTAACAGACAGGGTAAGAAAAAAAGAAAGTCAGACAGACAGACAGACAGACAGACAGACAGACAGACAGACAGACAGACAGACAGACAGACAGACAGACAGACAGACAGACAGACAGACAGACAGACAGACAGACAGACAGACAGACAGACAGAGTGTGTGTATAGATGGGGGAGAGTGAATGCGAGACTGAGCGGAGGTGACGATAGAGAAAAACACACAAAATACCAACAAACAAAACGAGAGAAAACCTGAGACAAAGAGAGGGAGGGAGAGAGAGAGAGAGAGAGAGAGAGAGAGAGAGAGAGAGAGAGAGAGAGAGAGAGAGAGAGAGAGAGAGAGAGAAGCAATTGAATAAACTATGACAATAAGGACCGGTCTAGTTTTGAGGGGCATGCCCGCTTTTCACCACCAGGTCCTTGTCGCTTCAGTGAACCCTGTTCTCAGACATCCGCCCGACCATCCATAAACATAAGACCGGTCGTCACAAAGGAAGCGTCATGAAACCTTGGTTGTCGTCTCTAAGCAGGTATTGATTTATATATGTTAGTCAGAGGAAAATGTAATTTAAAAAAACAAACTTACAACAGACTTATAAAACCTTGAAAAATGAATATAGGCATGTATTTAGTTTTGTCTGTCATTTAAAGAAATAATCATTAAAAAAAATGTTATAACAATCTTATGAAACCACGATAATTGTCTATAGGCAGAGATTAAATTATACGTCGTTTAGAGGATTAAGCAGTTTTCTATGTTATAATAATCCTACAAAATCTCGATAATTAGGATTACCTGATGCTAGACGCTCGTATGCGGATCAGAGGCTCGTGGGTTCAAATCCTGATGGTACCAGACATTATTTTTCAAGAATGACTTTAGTTAGCTGGTCAGCCCAGCCTTGAACTGATACAGGTGGAGTCCTGGAAAGTAAAGGCAACCAGCGGCATGCTGACCACATCACCCACCAAGTGCTGATTGTCTATAAAATATAGGTTCAGCCCTATATGCCCAAAACGACTGAAAGCGTCGAAGAGGGTCCTTTACTTATTTAGAGGAATAAGTATTTTTTTCTTCTTCAAATTTATAATAATATAACGAAACCTCAATGACTGTCTATGGACGTGTATTGAATTATTTCTGTCATTTAGAGAAATGTTATAATAATTTTATAAAAATGCACTTGTCGTGTCTAGGCAAGTGCTCACATTTATGTGCCATTTAGAGGTTAGACAATAGTCTTTCGTTTCTAGACAGGTATTGAGTTATGTCTGTCATTTGAAGAAAGAAATAAGTTAAGTAAAAACCATTTTCAACGCCTTCAGTCGTATTGGGCATAAAGTTCTAGACCTATACTGTGTGCACGGTAGGTGATGTAGTAAACATCACACCGGCCGCCTTTACTTTCCACGACTCTGCATTGTACCCATTTAAGGCTGGGTCGACCTAGAGCCAGGGTCATTTAAATTAAAAAAAATTCGCGCTCCGTCAGGACTCGCAAACATGACGTTCGGATTCGTTTGTGAGCGTCATTCAGAGACAACAAAGCGGCTCCTGGAAAGAAATAAGACTTTAAATGTTATAACAATCGCCCAGACTTAGATTTTCTTCTCTTGGCCAGTATGGTAGAGCCATGTTAACACGAATTTCGAAGAACCAAAAAATCAAGAGTTCGTGCTGAAAACGTTCGAGCTAACCAGGGATTAATAAAAATAATACATGACTGCAGGGGCCCAGGAAAGCTGCCCTGGTGAAGCAGCAAGACACTCGCCTGCGGATCGGAAGACCGTGGGTCCAGGTTCTCACGGTACCGGATTTTTACAATAGTTTTTTTTTTGTTTGTTTTGTTTTGAAAAATGACATTGGTTACCAGGTCGACCCAGCCTTGAATGGGTACCGAGTTGAGTCATGGGAAGTAAAGGCGGTCATCATGAAGCTGACCACATCAAACATCGAGTACCGATTGGTCTATTATAAAAAGGTTTACCCCTATATGCCCATTTCGCCTGAAAGCTAGGAAAATGGTCCTTTAAAACTGAATTATGTCTGTTATATAGATACAGAAATAAATCTTTTTCAAGTATTACAACAATCTTACAAAACCTTGCTTGAAAACAGTCTCTCGATTCTAGACATGCAACAAGTCCTGTTTACCATTTGTAGACAGAAATGAGAAGACCTATAAATGTTATAACAAACTTCCAATCCTAGATTGTCATCTTCAGCAATTACAGTAATGTCTAGTTAACACGAATTCCAATGAAAAGGAACAATCCAGATTTCTGGCTGAAAACATTTATGCTAACCGGAGAGTAATATATATAAAGCCGTTTTTAAAAGGGTAGGATATTACAGGGAAGAGAAGAAAATGGATGAGAAAGAACAAATATTTTATGTCAGCTTTCCAAAATCAAACATAAAGACATAATTTCAATTGACCGAAAACTGAGTTCCTGTTTAAAACAATACGTGCTAATCGGGAACTAATAACAATTATACAAGCCTGCAGTTCCCAAAATTTGCTTATGTTAACTGAGTGTTCATCCTAAGTGGGTTCGTGTTAATGATGTTGCACCGAAGTAAATGTTATCTGTTTAGATGAGCAAATAAATCATGCTTAAATGTTACCACAAATTCCTTCCAAGTCGGAGTGCATCTGTCTGAAAGATAATGAACCATCAGTCTGCATACAAATAGGCCAGATCTGTAAAGCAGATGTGCATGCAAAACTCAATTTTTTTAACAAAACTCAAGTCTAGAATAGGGCAAACAATTAGAACTTTCCGCCTACTTAAATTTTTTATTTCATGCATATGTGCCGCCATTTTTTAGGATGAAATGATTCTTTATTTGAAACCCCACCCTGGCTTTTGCCAGGAGCCGCAATATAGCCAGGCCATAAATACGGCCAAATGGCTGAACGCGGTTTCTGGACCTCTCCACGGTGATCCTCATCCACATGGTGGCACATTGTGTCATCGGGTGTTTATCGTTTGTGTGATGTTCTGGTGGGGCAGAAAGTCAGTCAGTCATTCAACTTTCAGCCGGAATTTACAGCCGGTGAACGCAAAGAAAAAGAAGTGGGTACTTTGATCTTAGCTCACTCCGAACAGGAGGAACCCCGGGAATATCCAACATTATAGTGGTGTTAGGGTTAGCACTAGTGTTAATGTCAGTCCATGTTCATTTTAAACCGTAACAGCCCTATAATATTGAATATTGCCGGGGATTTCCCGCGGTTCCCCGTGTTTGGAGCGAGCTGAAATGAAAGTACTGAAAAGTGTTACAGCAGTCTTCAAAGACCTCTCTCCTCTTTCTAGGTATTAAAAATGACCATTAAACCATCTGGCATATGATGTTAAAAACCATACGTTTATAGACCAATCAGCTTTTAATAGGTGATGCCGTCACATCACACCTTCCGCCTTTCTTTCCCAGGTCTTTACCTGGTACCCATATTATGTCGGTTCCACCTGGAAGCCATAGTGTTATTTTATGCGACCCCTGGAGGTCAAGTAACACTTTTAACAGGACCATGATAACCTCTGCAATAATAATAATAATAATAATAATAATAATAATAATAATAATAATAATAATAATAATAATAACAATAATAATAACAAACTTGACCCCTTTTTGCGATTCCAAAATGGAGTTGATCGTTTTTATACGACTCTTTAAAAATATAGGATACGTGTCAGACTGTTCACGTAGATTATCATGTTTCGCCACCTCACATGATCACCAGGATCACATATTAGGTCAGCGTTCTTATGGGGTCAATGGTAGCAGACATTTGAATCTTGTCAGTCACACAGTCAGATGTTTGACGGTCAGCCCATGCAATCGTTGGGACATATGCCGTAGGAGCCAACGGCTAGGTACCGCTTAAAGAAAATGTAGCCGGTCTAAGATGCGAACAAATCTCATGATCAAGGGCTAAGTCTATACAGTTCGCAGAGATTTTGTAAGACTGTCCGTCGACAGACGTCTGAACCAAGGTTTGTCATATACAGTGGTACCTGGAGTCACAAACATAATACGTTCTGATTTGATTCGCGACCTGAAATGTTCGCGCACGACCTGAAACAGTTTTTGCCCATGCCCTCCCACATATTTTCTTCTGATATTTGGTTTTACTGACTATCAAAGCACACCGGTCTGAAGAATGGGTCAGCGAAAGAGAAACTTTTAAGTGTGTAGCCAAGAGAGTAATATTCTGTAAGAAACATACTAACCAACTGATTGATTCCTTGGTTTTACTAGAAATTTTATCCTCAGCCATTGCCATGAACGGTCGGCGCTTAAAAACTTTGTCGAAATTAATGCAAAACGTTGATAAATCTCCCTCGATATAAACAAACATAATCAGACATGTCTGGGTACTTCAAAAAAAAAAAAAAAAAAAGAAGAAGAATTATGGATATATCGATAATTTATGTGTAAATGCTTCGTCATTTCTTGTTCTTAACATGTAAATATTAATTTGTAAACAGCATTTATATACTTTTCACATTGTATACTTATACTAAAATGTATTGTATTTGTACTTACAGTGACAGCTGAGTCTATCCAGCTGGTATCGAAACAAGGCTACAGCAACATGTGATTGAGAAATTAAACAAACAACATCCAAAAGTAAATCGTTGGGACGAAAGTCTTTTTCGACCAGCCAACAGACCACGAACGTGTTAACTGATAACAGAATTTTTGCACTGTAAACAAAGCAGAGGACATTTAACAGCGAGGACAAAATACAACAACAGAAAGGGCGGGAAATGTCTACAGTGTTTTTTAAAACGTATAAACAGATTTAACGTGATTTCTGCTCATCTGTAGGATTCGAACTTTATGTAGAGTTTTGTAGCTATCCCACTAGCAAGTGATAAGTTAATAAAGAATCCTTGCAACGCTATTATCGGATGGTGCTGAACCCAGCTGACAACAACACGTTTACAGAACTCTTAGAAACCAATCGTAATAGAGGATGACCAGGACAAACGAGCCCACAAGATGCGTGAAGCAACTGGCCATTATGGGCTGGGTGTCGCACGCAGCCGGTGTCCTATCGGTGGCAGTAGCCCTGGCCACTGAGCACTGGTTACGCCGCCTGTCGAATGGACATCATGTGGGCATATTTCCTTGCTGCCCTACGTTTAAATGTGACACAAAAACCATCTCTCATAACGGTTAGTTTATGTATTTGTTGAGTTGTCATCATCATCAGCATCATCATGGGCCGTGCAGGTAAGTGTAGGCTGTCATGCTTGGCCATCTCACACGATCACCAGAATAACGGATCAGTTCAATGTTTTTTTAAATCTCCCCCACCTATCTGACCAGGTTATCCAGGTATTAATCTCGTTGCCTTCCTCTTGCTCTCTTTTTGTAAGTTTTGAAATTGTAATTATTAATGGCATCCCAAGGAAGGTAGTTTGCCCTTGCTGTTCTTCTTGGTAGTGACTATATAAGTCGGGTGACCGTTGGCATTTTCACTACAGTGTGATCCTCTGCCTACCGCCGGGGAACTTTAGGCCATGACCTACAACTATCTGTCGACTGCTCCTAAAGTTCAGTTCACCACCTGCTCCTATGGTTTCATGTTACCCTGATTGGGAGCGGGGTGGGGAGCGAAAAAGGTATTCCACCTTATCTAAGGCTGACCCGTAGGCTGCAAGCGGAAGGAAAGGAGGTCCCTTACATATTTAACATTAGGTAAAGTAAAGGACACGTTTCCACGCCTTCGGGTGTATTGGGCATATAGGGCTAGACCTATATTTTATAGACCAAACAGCACTTGGTGGGTGATGTGGTCAGCATCACGGCGGCCGCCTTTATTGTCCAGGACTGCACCTGGTACACACTCAAGGCTGATCGACCTGGGAGTCAAGGTCATTTTTGAAAGAAAAGAAAAAGGCCGGCTTCGTCACGACGAGAACCCACGACCTTCCGATCCTCAGGCGGGCGTCTAGCCGCCACCAACTCCTACATATTTAACATGATTTTTATAATTGGTACTTTTAATAACGCCCAGTAAGTTACAATATTGTTATAGGCACTTGCCTGTTTCTAAGCTGAGACTGGCACTTATGTCGACCCAGAATGCAATGCATACCAGACACTAACATAACAGTCTAACCCTTGACCCGTTAGGGTCATAGAGGTTTCAACGACGGAAGCACTAGCACATAAAACCTTCCGCTTTTTTAACAAGTGTATAATAATTTAGTCCTGTCGAATTCTTGAATTTTGTCATTTCCGTTTCTTCTTTGCCCAAATTTTCTTCGACTAACAGCCATTGTTCCTAAGTCTGTGCAATCAGATCATCAGAATGGCCCGAAACCAAACTAGCTTGCGACGCTTCATCGCTGAGACAACATGCTCCTGATGTCCTGCAAACTTGTTTATTTTGTCTCTGACATATATGTGTTAGTTTTATGTTCTAGACATATTTGTTAGTTCTATGTTCTAGACATATTTGTTAGTTTTATGTTCTAGACATATTTGTTAGTTTTATGTTCTAGACATATTTGTTAGTTTTATGTTCTAGACATATTTGTTAGTTTTATGTTCTAGACATATTTGTTAGTTCTATGTTATAGACATATTTGTTAGTTCTATGTTATAGACATATTTGTTAGTTCTATGTTCTAGACATATTTGTTAGTTTTATGTTCTAGGCATATTTGTTAGTTCTATGTTATAGACATATTTGTTAGTTCTATGTTCTAGACATATTTGATAGTTCTATGTTCTAGACATATTTGTTACTTCAATGTTCTAGATAGCTATTTCGTAAAAATCGTTTATAGCATTTATGTTCGACAGACAGAATCATCCTTTCCATTTCTGCAGTGACACTCCAGCTATCACATCGTTTAAAGTTTTAACCTTTGGATTCTTATGCTAGTTTTCCAGAATACATTTCAGTGGGAAACGGGTTTGCCCGATAGTGCTCATGTTATCTCCGATGATGCGAATCCTTATACCAGGTAGTAGTAGAACCTTTGAAAGTATATTCTAGCAACTTATGTTTGATGCGCCACTGTTGTAAAGGTAAAAGTAAAGGACCCTTTTCCACGCCTTTAGGCGTAATGGGTATATAGGGCTAGACCTATATTTTATAGACTAAACAGCACTTGGTGGGTGATGTGGTCAGCATCACGCCGGCCACTTTACTTCCAGGGACTGTACCTGGTTCCTACTCAAGGCTGGGTCAATCTGAGAGCAAAGGTTTTTATTTTTTTTTTTAATTTTTTCCTTGTATCCTACCCCAAACAGGAAAATATCATAAACGACGGAATAGTCTAATATTTCAGTATAAATAGTTATGTTTATATTATCATGATCACGAACGACAAATGTACTTAGAGAGCTTTCATCGGCACAGCTTACAAATAGACAATGATACAAATACAAGAGAGAATACACAAAATCACTTATCTGTTAAGTTGAGATCTCAGAAAGACATTTAACTCTTTTCAATTGACTTGTGTATCAGAGAACATCCAGTATGTATCCTATATTCACAGAGCTTTTCTATATTTAACGCAATTCAATTTACGTGTATATCCAACAGAAATCATTAATTGCATGGCCTAGATACACACATCTTTTCATGTTTAACGCTATTTAATGTATATGAATATCAAAGAGAAAACATTAATTGCATGGCCTACATATACAAACTTTTTCTTATTTAATGCTATTTATTTTTTCTGAATATCAAAGAGAAAACTTCAGTTTTCTGTCCTACTTTCTCACAGCTTTAAAGTTTATAACGCGTTACAATTTGCGTAAATATCAAACAGAAGACATCCCTTGTGTATCTTACATTCCTACTTGCTTTCCTGAATTTATGCTGTTCAATGTACCTGAATATCAAACAGAAAACTCTCTTCTATGTCTGACGTTCCAACAGCTTCCCTGTATTTACACTCTTCAATTTACCTGTATATCAAACATAAAACTGTTCCTTTATGTCCTGTATTCCCAGTGCTTTCCTCCATTTAACACTAGTAAATTTACGTGAATAAAAACCAGAAGACATCCCTTTTATGACCTACATTAGCTTATTTTTCATGTATTTTAATGCACACGTACTTCAAACATAGAACTGTCCTTTTATGTCCTGTAAATTTCTCTATTTAACGCTATTCAATGTACGTGTGTATCAAACAGGAAACATCGGCTCCTTCACTGATATTATCATTGTTGGACTTCTACTTGTTGGGGTCGGCCTGGTCCTGTCGCTCACCCACTCCTGTGTCTCCTGGAGGAACGACATGAGGCCATTGCTAGGCATGTCCTACGTAGCGTCTGGGTTCGTAATGGCAGGAGGTAATTGTCTCAATGTCTTTTCCTAACGTCTTCAGCACCATGCCAGTTACCATACGTTTTTTAATTATCATACATTTCATACAGGTATTTTATTATACATTATTTTATCTTATGTCCTATTATTCTATTAGTTAGTCCATTTTACTGGCGGAAAGAATATTTCAGTGGGCTAATAACCTTAAAAGCCTGAGTAACTAACATCGATTGCTTGAAAGAAGCTAAGGAAAGTAGATCTCTATATACAACAACAAGAAAGACACAAACACTGTCCTTTGGCCACATAATGGGAAGAGAGACATTGAAGAACATCCTGACAACTGAAAAGATCAGTGGAAAAGGGGGTAGAGGCAGACCAAGAGAAAGATGCTGGATGGGCTGAAACGATGACATGGAGGGATATAATCTAGAGAGATGTTCCAGAGATCGTGATCTGTGGAGACACATGAGCATCTACGCCAATTGACAGGGCGCGTGATGATGATGATGATAAATAAACGGTGGAAGACTGGATGAACTGCCATACCAAGATAATTATGCAAAAGACCATGAACCAAAGATACTGGAATCTGAAGTTGAAAATGCCCTTAAACAAAGTAAAAATAACAAGGCAGCGGGAATAGATGGTATTTCAACAGAAACAGCTTGGTTAACCATAATCTCTAACATGGCTTAGGAGGCACGGAAAGTTCCAAGTGTCTAGCAGAGGGCAATCATTGTCCTCATTTGGAAAAAAAAGGGGACAAACGAGACTGTGAAAAATGCATGGTCATCTGCATCTTGGGCAATATTTGATAGATGTGTGCAAAAATACTAGAATTTAGAGCTTCACCAGTTGAGTAAGAGACAATAAGGAGGAGGATGGAGCTGTACAGATGCACTTTCTTGAAGGCAGATATACGAGCAGTCTACTGAATATGATAAATAAAAATCAACACCTTATATTTTTATATCAAGAGAAGGCATTCGATTAAGTCAATAGATGCAAACAACGGAAAATTCTCGAAGAATATTACATTCAAGATCAACTATTGGCTAAGATCATGGCTACTTATCAAGATAGCTATCGCACAGTAAGAACAACAGAAGGAAGGACAGTTTCCCATCTCTTCAGGTGTCACACAGGGATATGTCCTCTAACCACTGCTGTTCACTACTTACATGGCGGGAACTTCTGGACTTCCATCTTACAGCCTCGATTTAGCATCTAGCGATTTCTAATTGTTTGGTCCACTGAAATTTCGCGAATGACGAAGAAGTTGAATGCGAAGTGAAAATATTGTTTAGCAAACACAACACACAATTCTATGCCACAGGTTTGGAAGGACTTATAAAACGATGGCACAAGTGTATCAATGTTGGTGGAAATTATGTTGTAAAAAAAAGTTGTCAAGCTGTTATCGTCTTTAAAAAAAAAAAAAAAAAAAAAAAAACCATTTGTGACTTACTTATTGACTTTCTCCTGGTATATAGAGTTTGATATATTAGAAACAGTTGACAGTTTTAGGAATTAATAAATCTTGAAAGATTTAAAGGCGAGATTATGAACTTTACTTGTACATAGAATTCCCAGATGGTACTAGGGATAAGTCCAGCGTACCAACCGGAAAGTACTGCCATAACTATGATGCAGAAACTCAGGCTATCAAGATAGCAACAGAGAAACTGCTAAATACCAATCTTGGCTCACAGTATATGGTAGTGCTGACAGATGCAAAATCATTACTTGAAGCACTCCAGTCTAGGAAACTACCAGAATTGCAAACACTGCTGACACAACTTAGCCTTCAGCGAAGAGTTGTAATGCAGTGGATACCATCACATTATGGTGTGCCTGGAAATGAGAAAGCTGATCAACAGGCAGAAGAAGGTGCGACAAAAGTGCAGCCGGATGTACTAGTCACATACCACCAAAAGAAAAGAATCATTAAATCAATCAGGAAACCACCAGCCCCAGCACAAGACGACTATTTTATTTTGGACAGATCAGAACAAGTCATTATCCTCCGCCTCAGAACAGGGCACAACTGATTACGTAACCACATGTACACAAAATTTAAGACAGGCGTATCAGCCATGTGTACCTGTGGAAAGGTGCCCCAGACAGCAGAGCATGTACTCCAGGACTGCACCGAATTTGACACACTGAGGCAAACCTTTTGGCCAGAAAGAACAACAGTGGAACGTAAACTCTATAGACAACTGAATCAATTAACAACAACAGTGAAATGTATACAGGAGACACAATTGCTGATATAGACAACTTATTTCAGGCGAACAAAAGAAGAAGAGAAGAAGATGAACTTTACTTCACCCTGTGTTATCCCATATGGTTTCATCTCTCTTCGCATGGGGAAAGCGTTGCATAAATCATATACACGGTAGCTCTAGCAGCAACCACCACCCCCCCCCCCCCCCCTCCCCCAATGATCTCTATCAAAAGTGTACAAGTGAACCGAAAGACGGAATAAGCTAAACAAACGCCTCCTTAAGAATGTAAAAAAAAAAAAAACTCGATAAAAACACAGACCGACCTCTCAGAGAAGTGTAGAGAATTTAATGTAAATCTGTTCTTATGTTTTGTGGATTATTCAAAAGCATTTGACTGTGTACAACATCAGAAGCTTTGGGAAATCATGAGGAATATGGGCTTTCCATCACATATAGTGCAGCTCATTAAAATGCTCTATCAAGACCAACAAGCAGCAGTCAGAATAGATGGAGAGACATCAGACTGGTTTGGCATCAAGCAAGGAGTCCGTCAGGGATGTGTGCTGTCACCGTATTTGTTCAACCTGTACGCCGAAAAATATAATGAGAAATGTAAGAGATGATATAAACAAGGAACAATATGATGCCCTAAACATCGGTGGTCATGAAATACCAGAAATTCGTTATGCTGATGATACAGTATTACTATCAACATCACAAAATGGTTTAGAAAACTTATTAACCTCACTCCAAAGAAATAGTGAAAATCATAACTTATTTCTTAACACAGCAAAAACAAAGATAATGCATACAAACAAAACTGCCATGGAGAAGAAAATATATGTTAATGAGGAAAGATTGGAAGTGGTGGAAAATTTCGAATATCTTGGGTCACTGGTTACCAACAATGGTGACACAATGAAAGAAATTAAACGGTGACTATCAATTGCTCTTCAAAGACTAAAACAACTGAATAAATTATGGAATTGTACAGATAGAATTACAAAGGTCAGATTTTTAAGAGCATGCATCTTTCCCATTGCAACATACGCCTGTGAGACCTGGACACTTACTAAACAAGCGGAACAGCGCATAAATGCATTTGAATATAAATGTTACAGACAGGTTCTAAGAATATCTTGGGTAAAGAAAAGAACAAATGCATCCATACTTCAAGAGCTGAATATTGAAGAGGGTTGGCTAGTAAAGACAATAAACAAAGACAATTGAAATATTTTGGTCACTTGAAACGTCATGGAGGTCTAGAGAGAACAATAATGGAGGGGTATATGCCTGGGAAGAGAGGAAGAGGAAGGCCAAGGAGAAGATGGGTGCAGGATGTGGCAGATGATCTCCAGATGGGTGTATCAGACGCAGGACATCTTGCTCATGATAGGAAGGTTTTCCGGAGGGTTGTTATGGCAGCGAGGTTCCGCGAGGGACATGCTACTGAATGTATGAATGAATGACCTCTCAGACTTTCACAAAAACGGGAACTTCTGTTGACCTATTCGGCCTACTAAAATCTGGAGGTGGTCGTGGCATAACAAACCAGCGGCCTTAAGAATGAGGCCAGTGGCGTAACTATTACGCCATTGAAACGGAGAGTCTCCATCCAATTAGGAAGTGATTTTTCTGTTGCAGCAAAGTAAAGGACTCTTTTTTTCCCCTTTAGGTGTACGGGACATATATTGTTAGAACAAAATTTAAAGTCCAATCTGCACTTAGTGGGTGATGTGGTCAGCATCACGCCGGCTGCCTTTACTTTCCGAGATTTTACCTGGCATCCATTTAAGTGTACCTAACAGACAAGGCCATTTTTAAAGAAAAAAAAAAAGTGTACGGTTGTCAGGACCTGAATCCACGACTTTCAAATCCGTAGGTGAGCGAATAACTGCTAAACCACAGCGGCTTCTTTTTACTATGATGGAAGGTCTACGATAATATGGGTACAGCTTAAGTATTTTTTCCTTTGAGCTGATGGTGAAGTTTCCTTCAGTTTTAAGAGATGTTTCCTTCAACTCCTTCTATCTACATTCGTATACGACTGTTTTAAAAAGTGATGCCATCGATCTAAGTTTTCACCGTATCCCGAATTTTTTGTTATGTAAAGTTTAAAAAAAAAAATTATCAAGTACCCTTTTCACGTTATAGACGCAAGAGATTATATGGTATTAGATTCATGTTGTATAGATCACTCAGCACTCAGTGGTAAACATAATACCACCGCATGTCTTGTCCAGAACATTTGAAAATGCGTTATTATTATTCTATTCTGCAAGGTATTACCCTGGTTGCCGGAGCTATAGAGTTTGTGACCACGATTCCCAGCAACATGGAAGATGCACTGAGAGAGGATTGTCAAGAGCTTAACGATATAGTACAGACAGGGTTTTCATATGGCCTATTTGTGACAGGCGCCGTGGCCTTTATCCTTGCTGGAATTTTGTTGCTCCTAAGCAGCTGCAGACAGAGCCACCCATCGAAGCTGACAAGGCGTGTGATCAGACCTTCTATTGCTGTCAGCGAAAGCAGCATGTCATTAGAGACTGTGTCAGCTCATCTTGAACAACATGGCAGGTTGTCACCAATGCTGCAGCATTTCATTGAGAGTTATAACAATCCCGTTTATGAGGCTGATGATGACGTGCAGCAAGCTTCGACTGGAATGCGTAGATTGTCGTCACAAGCCTTCCTGTGTCTGTGTGAGAGATTATCGCAGTATGATTCCGAACGTCAAAGTGGCACACTATCCCCAAACGGTTCTTTCCTTCAAGGTGGCAGATTGTCCC